TGTAACCAAACAAAATTGAAGACTATAAAAAATAATGGTTTGTCTGTGCAATAACGATTTTTCAGAGAGTAATTCACATTTAATTTCGTACTTTTTCGAGGGGTGATGGATAAAATAGGGATGATTAAATGCCAAGACAAAATGTGTCACGTGGGTCACACTAGTGGAAATTCAGGATTTTTTAAAATATTTCCTTGTAGAATTAAGAACTTAAAACTTGTATACTAGTAAAATATGTATTATTAGCTAATATTTTATGCTATTTTAATTGGTATAACATAAAATAAGTAATTTAATAACATTCTGAATGTAAGACACTACACCTTGTACCATGTGCAGTAAAGGGTACTCATAAATCTGGTAGACAACCTTATGATGATCAAATCAAAGATAGCGTCTGCACTGAAGAGAAACAGAAATGTGCAGATAGGCATTTGAGATGTCTACCTTGGTCATCCACAATTTTGGAGAGAAAGCCCACCTTAGAGTGAGAAAAGACTCTATTGTAAAATGGGGAAGACCCAGAAATTGATTGAGGTGGGATAGATCGACCACAGGATACCAGTCCATAGTTTTCTTGAGGACAATGAACATACAGAAGAATGTTTGCTGCCTCTAACAGACCTTGACTGGCAGTTGTATTCTGAAGAAACAGAAAGGATATGGGTATGGGCAACAAAAGTGGTGGGGAAAGGAATCAGATGGCAATTCCTTCTGAGAGAACCTGAAGAACTCAATAATCAGTAGCAAATTCCAACCAGAGGGGAACAAAATAGGTCAAACAAGTCACCAGTGGAGTGGAACCCACAGGATAGTCACCTATACTGCTGGCAACAATGAGACCTGCACCAATAAGCACAACAAAACATGGAACCCTAGTAGGAGAAACAAGTAAAGGACAGGAGGGTGTCAAACATAGAACAGGGAATTGCAAGGGCCCAGGATGAGACAAAGAGAAACCAAGGATGAAAGGGTCGAATGTTGCCTCACAGATTCTACACATGATTCCAAAGTTTTAGAAATATTCGCAAAACAGACTGTTGGAGAAAAGTAAGTGGACAATGAATGAATGTGGGACAAGACAGTGTCCTTCCCCAGAAGATCCCAACAGCAAAGAAACTATATGTGAAAAGATAGAGCCAAGAAGAACAATTGAACCAACATAGAAGTAAGAGGGAGAAGGTATCCTCCAAAAATCTCTCAGGAGATCAGTGGAATGCCTCAGAAAGAAGGTGCATAGTAGACAAGTACTGTAGGAGTGTCATAAGGGTAAGACAAAGGCGGGAAAACTGGGCATAATATAAACAGACAGGACTGTCAGAGTCACCCCCCCTTACTGGCAGTAGTGATTCTAAATGCTGAGAATCAAGAAAGAGGTAATCTGCCTGATGGCAAACCAAGATAAACTGATCCATGGCCTGTGGAGAGTGAGGCATGCTAGTACCAGCTATCAAGTGTGAAAAAAAATGCTCAACACAAACCTCGACATCACGAGAAGGAGGAAAAACAAGAGACTGAGAGGAGGGAGTGTCATGTAAAAAGTAGGAACAGGCTTGTAAGAAATTGGAGAAATGGATAAAACAGAATAAACCTGACAAATTATGTCTTAAAACAGCTGAATTAAGCCTAGCAGATTCTGCAAGAGAGGTACAGGAAGGTACAGCATAATCAGGAGGAGGGAATAGCTGTCAAAATCCTCATTGTCTCAAATAGGTTCAGCAGGTACAGCAAGAAGTCAAGCACTATCAGGAGGAGAAGGTCGACTCAGATAATGTTCAATCTCCCAATGAATTAAGGCCAAAATTCCTCAGTCGGGTTCCCCCCTACCTGAAGCCTATGTAATTGTGCTGATAACAGGTGGTAGAACCTCCAAAGTGATTTACATTAACTTAGGTATTCATCATAAAATTATGCAAAAAAAAAAGAATAACCAAGGTGAGTTATCAATGAAAACTTGAAAAAATAAAACTGTAGTAAAAAAATAAATTATCTTTCCACTTTGTACGAGAAAATTAAAAAGTAAAACATGTGACAAGAGCACAATCAAAACGTGTCTTGACTACAAATTGTCTGACAAGAAATTATAGTTTGGTGGAATCGAATAAAGGAAGTCACATGTATCAGGAGGGTGTATCACACTCTTATTGGTGATTTGCATGCAAGAAGCAGTTGAACCATGATAATCATGGGGTGCATGGGAGTGCAAGACTTGTGGCATGCTAAAAAAGGTTTTGTATACAGAGGGCAGCACTGAACGAGAACTTGAGATGAAAGTCAAAATTTAAGTTACTTGCATTGAAACAAAAAATACTTCATGGAGCTACAGATTGATTATAACTAAATTTTTTGTCGTACAAAATACTTCACCTGCAGCACCACCAAGGGCCTTTCCAAGGGTTGAATTAATTATATCCACTCTTCCTGTTAGATTGAAATATTCCTCGGTGCCTCTGAAAGCAGAAAAAAATGCAAGTGTTTGAAAAATAAACAAAAACACATAATAATTAAAATTATAAAATTATCATCAACAGAATAAAAACAACAACAGATTTTTTTCAAAGAATAAAATGTTTATTGAAAAATTACAATACTTATTTTTCACGTTTGTTTAAAATGATTAAAATTATACAAGGACAAGAAAACAAAGTCAAATGCCAACCTTCCAGTTCTGCCAAAAAATCCTGTAGCATGACATTCATCAACAAAGACCATTGCTTTGTATTTTTCTGCCAGATCACATATGTTTCTAAAAGAAAGAATGCAAATAAACAAAATATGAAATAAATAGTAATGAATATGTTCAGCTGTTTGAAAATAAAATATAGATTTTAAAATAATCAATACCCAAATACAGTAATAGCTGTAACATGAATCAATACATTTCTCGTAAAAAAAGATGTTTAGATATTAGACTGTCAAAAGTGAAATCTATAACATTATTTATCTTTATGGATTTTGTGCATGTCATAAACTATCTATAGAGTTAAATTAAAAATTTAATGAAATAACTTTGTCAATGTATGTCAATAAACTTGGCATAAAAATGTAATTTTAATTTCTTAATTTCAAAAGGATATATTTAGATAAATTCTCCATTTTCACTTCTTTGTATCACATGATCTATATTTGTATCTATATTTTAATTGTCTAATGACTTATTATTAAAATTTTTCCAACATGTTTTCAGGCACTTAAATATCATTTTGTAAACCACCCAGTGGATGCACACACACACTCACATGAGTTAACCTGCATTCTTTATGCCAGTCTACACTACATTACCAAAGTATTAGATGGGGTTGATGAGTTTCATATTTTGCTGCTGAAACTAAATTTTCAATGCGGAGTGAGCCCATCATTGATCTTAATTACAGCTTTGGCATTTTTAATAACTCTTGACATCAATTGTCTTGTGAAATAAACCTGATCCGATTTTTCAATAATTTTGGAATTTCAAAGTCTGTCTTTAATAACTTTCTGGTATTGTTCAAATCCATCTTGTAGTAAATCCAGTGGATTCAGGTTGGCAATTAATATTGAATTCTGATCAAAGCAAGCTATGTACTTAGAGTGAACCTAAAAATCAACCTAACAATCAATATTTTTATAATAAAATACATTTTTCTTATGTTTCCATTTATAAAGATTAGAACTCATTGTTTAACCCTATCAGCCCAGGTGCACTTTACTGTGCATGACACAAAGTTTTAGTGTCTTACATTCAAAATTTTATTAAAACTACTTTTTGTTTATGTTATATTAATTAGTATAGCATAAAATCTTTGCTAATAATCCATATTTTAATAGTATACAAGTTTTAAGTTCTTAATTCTACAAAGAAATATATAAAAAAATCCTGAATTTTCACTATTGCGACGCACGTGACA